ATGTCTATGAAACATATATCAGAAATATATAAGTCCTGCGTTGGTGTTACGACAACGGCCATAATTATATGTCTATGAAACATATATATATATACTGTAGTAGAATTAAAGAATAAATATAAATGGCTGGCAACCCTATTGATGACTAACGAATGTAAAGAATGACAAATAAAGAATCAAGCAGTGTGTAATAAGAAACTAAATGAAGCGGTTGTGTTTTATTGCTACAATATCAGGTGTGGGGTAAAATTCACGTGAAGATAAATAAATTATTCTAGCGACAATAGCGTGCGTACAAATAAGAATTAAGTTCGCGTTAAATTGCGCAAATCTACAATATATATATTAATCAGTTTTAAAAAAAAAAAAAAAATAATAATAAAATAATGGCTGATGCCTCAAGAGCTGCAATAATCGAGACATTGCGAAATATGAATATTTCATTTCCAGACACAGCAACATTAAGTCAACTTAAGAAATTAGTTGCTGGTGTTATTGAGGAAGTGGACGAGCGGTCCGAGTCAACAATATTAGCAAATGCAACTTCAGAAATAGTAATAGCAAATGCGACTTCAGATGACAAAAGTGACGCCACCAATACATACGATAATAATGCCGCCATTGTGACATATACAAAACTCGATAAAAGTGATGCCAATGAAAATCAGTGCAGTGAAAATAATAATGCCGCCATTGAGACATATACAAAACTCGATAAAAGTGATGCCAATAAAAATAAGTGCAGTGAAACCACAGCTAAAATTAAACATGCTGTAAACACCGGCAATGTAAACACTTCAGTTAACACAGATGAACTTAAGTTACGAGTTAAACTGCTGGAAAATCAAATAAGAATTATGGAGATGCAAAATCAAATATCAATTAACTCTACCCAATATAAAGAAATAGAGCAAGTGTCAAAGAAATTCAGTGGCGATGATGACATGGACGTCATAACTTGGATTGAGGATTTTGAAAATATATCCGCAGTGTACGGATGGACGGAGAAAGTTAAACTGGCTTTCGCTCGGCGAATGCTTACTGGCACTGCTGAATTGCTGTTGGGTTTTACGGAAGTTAATTCTTGGGAACAACTCAAAGAATTACTTCAAAAAGAATTTACAAAAACCTTAAGTGTTAGAGATGTTTTTAAAAAGTTGGAAACACGCGCCTGGGATAAAGGAAAGGAATCGCTACTGCGTTATGTGATAACGATGCAGAACATTGCGAGCAAAGCACCTGTGTCGGAGGAAGAACTAATTGAATACATCATAAATGGCCTTAAAGACAGATCAACAAATGTAGTTATGCTTTATGGAGCCACATCAATAGTAGAGCTTAAAAAACTGCTACTAAAATATGAAAAAATCACGGAAGTTACGGATGCAAAAAACATGATAAGTCGACCGTTTCAGAAATCACAAGCTAAACGAGATTTTCCTGTGGTTAACAATAATGCTACTGATGAAAATCATTCAAACGTGCAAAACAAGCCTGTACGCTGTTTCAATTGTTCGGGATATGGCCACTATGCTGTTGACTGCAAAAAGGAAAAACGAGGAAGAGGGTCCTGTTTCACATGCGGCAAATTCGATCACGTGCACAGTGACTGTCCGAAAAAATCTGTAAACTTTGCTGCTAATAATGATGACGATTATGAAAAAGTAGAATTTGAAAAAAAGGTAAGTGTTGCTTTTAATACCGATTGCGAACCTGAACTTAAATTTGACTGTTTTCTATGTCTGCTGGATACGGGTAGCCCTATTAATTTTGTAAAGCGGTCGGCAATATTATCTGCTAATCCTAAGATCCAATTACATGATAATAAAATGTCGCAGTATGTAACTCTGGGACGTAAAAATATAATGTATTGCGGAACTGCAAATGCAAAAATCCAATATAAAAATAAGATAATTACCGTAAATTTTTTAATTGTACCAGACAATTACTTATCATATTCAATTATATTTGGCAGAGATTTTTTACAAAAATTTAATATTTCTCTGTGTATTAAACACACAAATAAAAATGACTTTTCAGAAAGTCAATTAGAAAACAGGCATAATTTAAATATATTGGAAAAGACAAAGGCAGATCACATTGTAGGTAGAACATTTAGAGAAATGTGTAACATCACAAAAAGTGATGGTGATTCCTTAAATATTAACCCAAACTTATCCCGCGATTGGACAACAAAATGGGAAACAATGATAAAAAATAATTACATACAAAAACCGTTAGCAAATTTTTTGGACACTGATTATGAGGCAAAAATAGAAATAAAAACAGACACACCAATTTTCTGTTCACCACGACGGTTGTCTTTTGCCGAAAAGAATGAAGTAAATGATATAATTAAAGACTGGCTCGATAAGAAAATCATTAGACATAGCGACTCCCCGTATGCATCACCAATAGTTCTTGTTAAGAAAAAATCGGGAGAAACTAGAATGTGTATAGATTACAGAAACCTGAATAAACATATTATTAGAGATAATCACCCACTGCCACTAATTGAAGATTGTTTAGAATACTTAGGGGGTAAGAACATATTTACATTAATGGATTTAAAATCGGGATTTTTCCATGTAAATATACCTAAAATATACCTCGTTTGTGGTACCTAATGGCCAATATGAATTTTTAAAAATGCCTTTCGGTCTAAAAAATGGCCCAGCTGTTTTTCAAAGATTTATTACAAAAATCCTAAGAGATTTTATTGAGAATTCAGAAATTATAGTTTATTTAGACGATATTGTAATTGGAAGCAAAACAATAGAGGAACATTTCATAATTGTAAGCAAAGTTTTAAACAGATTAGCAGAATTCGGACTTCAGATAAAACTAAGTAAATGTAAATTTGCGCACAGCAAAATAGAATACCTTGGGTATATTGTTTCATCACAAGGAATTAAACCCTCGGAGAGCCATGTCGAAGCTATAAGAAATTTTCCTGACCCAAAAAATCAACGACAACTTCAGTCATTTGTCGGTTTATGTTCATATTTCAGAAAATTTGTGCAATCCTTTTCAATAATAGCTCGACCACTATATG